AGCCTTCACCTCACTTTGCCAATACCCTTCAGGTTGCTCTAGAGTTCTATCTGTCCCTCCTGCACCCACAATGTAGTAAATCTACCAAACCCTAAACCCACTGTCATTGAGCACATTCCAACTTACTGTGACCCTAGAGGACAGATTAGAACTGTCCTAAGGGTTTCCAAGGCTACACATATTTAGGAAAGCAGATCAACATCTTTATTCCATGGAGCGGTTGAGCAATTTGCCCACTGAACAACCAGGGCTCCCTCCTAACCCTCCACTCATTCTGCAGATGATTCCTGCATCTGTCACACTGGCTCCAGAGTCACAAAGCCAACTGCCTCTACCACACTTCCTCTTAGAAGGTAATAGGTATCTCCCTGCCAACAGCAAATCCACAATCTCTGCTTTCCTTTAAAGCCCTTAAAGGGCTTTAATATGAAAAAAGCAATAAAGAGGGGTGCTTATTAGCTGCTCTTCTCGTACTTCCCTTCCTTCCCATCAAATACCTCCACATACAGCAAAAAATCTTGCCAGTTCTCACCACCTCCAAACTGGATCCTAAGAGTCCAACCTCTCATCCATTCACAACAGCCTCCCAAACATCCCGCCCCCACTCTTGCCCCACCCTATGCTCATGCAGCAGCCAGTGTGCTCCAGTTCTGTGCTCCCAGGGAAAACTCCAACAGCTTCTCACTGAATGTACGCTTGGTCCTCAACTTTCTACATACTGAGCCTTCACCAACTGCACTCACCCTGTCTGGCTTTTTGTTGACTTTTTCAGTAAATCTTACAGTTAGTAATAGACACAACACCCTGTATTATAACATATAGTTTGCTGATATTTTCATTCTCAGCTGTTCACCCACAGATGTTTTTTAGGTTATTATTCCTAATGGTAATAAAGGAAATAATTAAAACAAGATACTTGACTTACACCAGAAATCTACTGATGACAGTCTTCAGAACAGAACCCCGTTGTGAGGATTACTTATGTCCTTGGTTACCTATGTAGTGATGTTGTAACAACAAATACCACGGGCACTGTAGACAGAAAATTCTTTCTGGTTAGAAGGCTAGAAGCCTGAATTCAGGTAGCCAGTTTTGGGGGGAAGGTTTTCCCTTTCAGCTCAAGATTCTTGTCATCAAACTTCCCCTGAGTAGAAGTTTCTCAACACAGGGACCCTGGACACAAAGGATGGAAGCTCTCTGCTCACTTCTTTATCTAGTGTATGATGAAAAGTGATCCAGGTTGTACCTCAGGAACACAGCTGTGACCTGATTAAGGGTTTTACAGCCCACCCTGATCACCTTCACATCAGATTACGTCGGAGGGGTGAGTACCTAACTGTTACAACTATGGGAAATCCTGGCCCAGCCATAAATATTTTGGGGGGACACAATGCAATCTATGACAATTCTAAACTCCCAGTTCCCCACTACTGCCCATAAGGCCTTACTGCCTTGGAGCCTGACCTTTGACCTCACCTAGCTCTCTGTGGCTCTGGCTTCCTGACTCAGAGATGTACCCACACTGCTCCTTCTCTACTAGAAGCTGTTCCTCCTCATTAAGGTCTCATCTCACAAGTCCATCTTCCTTGACCCCTCTAGTTATAGTTCAAAAACCCACTTCACCCTTTTCTGGTATTATTAGCTGTGGTGTTGAGTGCTGAATGGACTTGCCAAAAAAACAGGTATGTCTTGGAGAAAGTACAAGTTAGGGTGCTCCTTGGAGGCAAGGATGCTGAAGCTTCACCTCACTTACTTTGAGCATACAGAGGCCAGTCTTGGGAAAATGACAGCATGCTTGGAGGGTCAGCCAGAGAGAAGACAATCCTCAACAAGATGGACTGACAGTGGCTGGAACAATACACTCAAGGGTATCAGGGTTGGATGGTGAGGGTGGTACAAGACAGGGCAGAGTTCAGTTCTGCTGTCATATGGTGGCCATGAGTCATACTCAACTCGATGGCACCTAACAATACTACCTAACCAAATCTGCTATCAGGGACCTCTCCAGAGTACTGAGAAGCAATGATGTCAGTCTGGAGACTAAGGTGCACCTTGATCCAGGCCATGGTCTTCACAATTACTTGCTATGCATCAGAGAGCTAGACAATGACTAAGGATGAAGATGATCAATGCCTTCAAGCTGTAGCGTTGGAGTAGAGTGTTGAACACACCACGGACTGTCAAGAAAACAAACAGGACTGTTTTGGAAAGGGTGACTTCAAGTTTCTCCTTGGAGGCTAGGATTTTGAAGCTCTGTTTCACATGCTTGGGGTGCATGGCCAGGAAGGACCAGTCCTTGGAGAAGGACATCATGCTTGGAAAGGTCGAGGGACAGTACAGGACAGGAAGACCCCAGGGATGAATACAGTAACTGGAGTAATAAGGATAGGTATGTCAGTCAGTGAGACTGGCTGAGGACTGGGCAAGCTTCAGAGCTGCCCAGGGTCACTATGCTAGCCACACAGAGTCACTATGAGTTGCAGGTCACTTGACAGCACATAACCACCACCTAACATTAAGTTTATGGAATTACTCCTGTCATCCACATTAGAATGAGGAATACAAACCAATCATTTGTGGGATAGGGAGTTCTGATGGCACAGTTGTTTGTAAGGAGCTTTATTGATAACCCAAAGGTTATTTGCCTTTTTTAAACCATCAGCATCACCAAGGGGAAATGACCACTCTCTTCCCCAGGTTAGGAGGAGAAAAATTACAAACTTCTCCCATAGAACCTCAAAAATTCCAATGGAAGGTCCAAATCACCATCATTGAGTTTGTGGAATGAATGATTCCCATAATCCCAAATGTATTATTGTGCCCATTCTGCAAATCAGGAAACTAAGGTTCAGAGAGATGAACTCTCAAGGTCTCCTGAGTATGTGGTTTGGGTTTAGATTTGAACCCAGATCAGCCAGATTCAAGAGGCAGACCTCTTGTTCTCTGGGGAGGGGACTCATCCTGCAGAGAGAAGCCTAGGAACAGTTACCTAATGAAGTTCTAGGACACAGCAGTCTCATAGACTCTCAACTCTAGCATGGCAGGCAGAGAAGGATGGGGAGGTAAGAGATAGATGGGGCAAAACCACTGGTGCACTTTGCATTGCCAAGTCCAGTTCAAAGATCGCAGGCCTCCCTGGGCCAGCTCTGAAGTGATCCAGGAGGCCAGAGGGGCTGTTCTCACTGCCATGGTGATTGTGTGGCAGCTGCTCTGCTCACATCCTTTATTCACTCTTAGCAACCCCATGAATTGCCTTGTTTTACAGAGGAGGAAGTTGACGCCCAGAGATTCAGTAACATACCCAAGACCTCAGAGCTGGGACAGGGGCTGGATGCCCAGGTTTGGAGGCCAGGTCTCTGCTCAGGTGTTATTACACATCACCTCACACACAGCTGAGAGCCTTCTACCACCCAAGGAAGGCTCAACCCAGCCTCCAATGGAAACAGCTCAAGCCCCAACCTCCACCTGATCAGGGAAAAACCATCAAGACACGAAAAAAGCACATGGCATGAAAAAACAGACCTCACACAGGTGACAGGTGCAAAACAGAGGCTTTAATCCCAACAGCAATAAAGGTGCGAGGGGCTGGAGGGCAGGGGAGGAGGTGACAGGAGGGCAGGGGTCTGGGACCATGGGAAGGAGGCAGGCACTGGCCTCTCCTGGGAAATTTTTATTTCTGTAACAGTTGTGGCTCTCGCCTCGGCCCTGGCACAGGCTGTCAGCCTAGATCTGAGGGTCAAGCCCTGAATTGTGCTTTTCAGATGCTCCCTCTCCCCAAAAATGTGGGACCCAGACATAGCCAAGGAGTAATGGGAAGGGGCAGGCCTCAGCTTGGGCAGAGGAGAGTCTGTAAGACTCAGGCCCAGAAACAATCCTAGAAGAAAACCCAGGAACTGACAAACTATTATAGCATTCTTAACCCTGAGGGGTGAGCCTGTTCGGCTTAGCCCCCGACGATCCTCACAGCCAACACCCAGGCTGGGCAGCCAATGGCTTACCTCAATCCACAAAGGCCACAGCAGTCTCAGGGAGTGTGGAGAACATGAAGTGGGACTGTTGCTTTCTAAGCCTTCCTGGTGGAGGCCCACCCACCACCCAGGGGAACAGAGCAGAGCCAAGGGGCCTTGGGAGGAGAAGGAATGAAACAGTGAGGAGGTGGCAGAAATATCTGAAGGTATGGCAGCCATAAGGAATCCCAGGTCTCTACACACACAGCTGGCTCCATGCCCCTCCAAGTCTCTGGCATCCGCTTCTTGCCAGGGGCAGCTTTGGAAAGGTGGGCCTCACCCAGTCAGCTGGTGAGGGAGAGGCCAAGTCCTGATCTGGCCTTCTCAGGAGCCCAGTGCCCCACAAAGGGCCATCTCACATTCAGGGTACTACTCCGTGGAATGGGGGAGAGGAGTGGGTATGGCCAGTAAACCAGCAAAGTTAGGGGCCAAAGAACAGCAGTGCCAAGATGAAGATCTGGACACAGGGCTCAGACCTGGAGGAGCCAGGGAGGGAGGATACCAGTCAGAGCAGCCCAGCTGGCTGGCCTCTGGCCCCAGCCTCCAGCCCACAGAGAGACCTGAGCATGGGAGGACCAGGAAATTGACCCATTCTATGGGGAACAACTGCTCCCGCCTTCAAAAAGGCAACAAGAGACAGGGAGCAAAAGCAATGCAAACAGTTAAATACCCCTTCACCCACAGTGGTATGGGACTGCCCGAGGTCTCAAATGGAGCTGGATAGGAGAGAAAAGAGAAAGGGGGACAGTACAGGAGGGGAAGGTTGGGCCCTTTTCCTCCTGCCCCTTCACCATAGGGGACAAGTCAACAAATTGGCCTCACTTTGGTCACTTCTCCCAACTCAGGTTCTTAAGCTCAAGTGTCCCTCTACCCCACCACACTCACCACCCCACCCCAGTAAACAGTCAAACAGAAAGAACAGAGGGGAGGGGAGGGAGGGGTCTGTCGCTTGGTGAGGAGAGCAGTCTGGGTGGCTCTGGCTTCAAGGCCCTCCTAGCACGAAGTGACTGGCTGGATGGGCAGCAGGCTCCCAAACTTGAAGTGTTGGATCACAGGGAACTTCTCTAGGCACTGCAGGAAAAGAAAATGCAGAGATGAGGGCTGCAAGGCCAGCTGCCCCACAGCAGCATGCAACTTTGGCTTAGTGATGTGGAGCCATTTCCAGGTGGGACCCACGAAGGGCCCAGGAGTGCTCCCCGTCAGAGAACAGCCCCAGGCTTTCACAGAGAGGTAAGGCTCCCTACTTGACAGGTGCCTTCCTGAATCTCTGGTAACCCCCAACTTTACCACAATAACACTGACCAGGTAATGAGAGAGACAGCCTAACCACATAAGCAAAAGCAAGCACAGGCAGCTAAGGTCAACACTTGGTTCAGGGGATAAACAGTCCCAGAGAAGAAGTTGGGAACAAGAAATAAAGAAAACCTTCCTACTAATGGAATAAAATGCAGAGTCAAATCCAGAGTCCAGAAAGAAATCCACCCAGCTCTGGTCAACTATTTTAACAAAGAAGCTGTATTTAACAGTCAAAACAGTCAATACATTGTGCTGTTAAAAAAAAAAATTCATTTCCACACACAGAACAGTAAAACAGATTCCTTGCCTCACACCAAAATGGATTAATGTCGAATAGATGCTAACTAAAACCCTACAACTTTTAGATGAACAAGCAATACTATTAAACCTAACATTTTGCAATAGATTATATAATATGCTAGAAGCACAATTAGAAAAAGAAAATACAAATAAATGAGATCTTTAAAAAAATTAAAATTTTTGTTCATCAAAAGATTTTATAAAAA